ACTTAGCTCCCCCCCCCCACCAGAAAATGTATCCTAGAGCCACCACTGACTTTGGCTAGATTGTTGTCCCTGAGCAATGAGGAGTTTGTAAGTTTACTAATAAAATATTATGAAATGCAAATAAAAAAGCTGAACTATCCATTTTTACCCTGCAGACTGTTTTTAAATTCCACAGCTGTTAATAATATTGACCTATACAGTGTGTATTAGAGACAACTAATTTTGCACTCATAAGTAGGTTTAGTTATATACAGACAATTGGCTGCAACTAAAATTCTCAAGTCTGTATAATACTTTTAATAATATGACACCAAATAAAGTAAAATAAAACTAAGATACTACTGCACTGAATAGCACAGTACATGTACTGTACAGTATCATGTGAGGTTTTCAGTAATTAATTCTTTTATTTCAGACACTCTTCAAGCAACTAATTACATAATTAACGAGATATTGCGATCAGGCATCTGTTCCTGAGAGTTTCAAATGAATTTCTGATGGAATTAGTGGATGCCCTTCAAATGATTCAAACACAGTAACATTAGGCCTACTGTAGAGTTGTCTATTCACTGGTGATGAGAATAATTTCAATAACGTCCAATGAAGATACGATGGTGATGTTATTGATGGCGATCATAATTTCTATCTTATGACAGGGAAGTTGATACAGACAGTGATGATGATGATGATGATGATGATGACGACAACAATATCGTACAAGTCACAATTAAAACATTAACCTGACATTTAAATTAAAGTATAGGAGTAACCTACTGGATGACTATTTTTGTCAGCCATTTATACAAATTACAAATCAAAATCTAAATTTCTTTATTTAATGTCTGGACCAAAAATATCAAAATTTTATCCAAGTAAGTAATTTACTAATTTTACAGTTACTGTAAATGTCCTTGTTTAAACGTACAAATGAATATTCATTTAGATGCACTGGAATTTATAATATATCGTTGTATATTATTTGGGCCAGGGCCTGCATGATGAATAAATGTTCATGGAAGTATGCTTATTTTTATAGTACATAAAGAAAATGAAATAAATGAAGTATAAAGAAACCTAAATACAGTACTAATACTAAATGAATAAAATGCTGATTTTGGATTGGTTTTAAGGGGTGATTTTTATCATTACCTACTAATTTAAAGCTTATGGTTTAATTTTTCTACTGTGTATGCAGTAGTAGCACTGCCCTATTTGGTGATTATAGTTTTACTAACTGGACTCTGGAATTCCACTAAAGAGGTCAAAATAAATTGTAAAGAAACCCTAATATAGTACTACTATAATAATGTATAAAACAATGATTTTGGGTTGGGATTTTACGGTGATTTTTATCATTACCTAACGTATAATAATACTAAATTTAGTATTATAGCTTCTGGTAGATATAATTTCTCTACTATAGTTTTGTATACGTAGTACTGTAGTTCTGCCCTATATGGTGTTTACTGCCCAATTTGGAGATTGTAACTTTACTAATTTGGGCTTTGGAATCCCACTAAAGGTGTCAAAATAAATTGTAAAGAAACCTAATTTACAGTAGGCCTACTACTTTAATATACTGTATAAAAAAAACACAGATTTTGGGTTGGTGTATGAGGGATTTTTTCCCCATAATACTGTACCTACTGTACATTGATATAAACTTTAATATTACTATTATACATAGTATTATGGTTGATATAATTTCTGTTAGTGTATATAGTAGTACTGGCCTATTTGGTGTGTATTACCCTATTTGGTGATTGTAACTTTACTAATTTGGACTCTGGAATTCCACTAAAGGGGTCAAAAATAGTTTTACACCTGACTGCCAATATAGGCACCTTGAAATGTACAAATGAGTTTGCAGATACCTATGGTGATTACTGGTATCACACCAGGAAGGTAAATCCTGCATTTCAACAGTTGGCGTATCAGTGTCATTAACATAAATAAAATCAGTAATGAAGGATGTGGGAGATGAAGATAAAGGAAATTGCGGTAACAGTTTCAAAAGCCTTGAAAATATTAAAATAAATAAAGGACAATAGTAGGTAGGCCCAATTGTTGAATGTACAAAGATCACATATTTGGGTTTATTTTTTCAGAACCACAATTATGGTAACTTTGTGTTTTGTATTTTTTTTAATATTTTAATTTAATTGGTTTTTTTTTTTGGTTTTTTTTTTAAACCTTGTCAAGGATACTACTAAGACACCTTTTAAAAATTGTATTTTCCACCAGAGGTCATTTTGTATATAGTTTGTGTTTTACCAAAAAAACATCATTATTAAATAAATAATTATTATTATTACAATTAAAGCTTGTCCTAACAGTAAAGAACAGCATTAATATATACTTGGAAGAATTTCATCTAGTTTTTAGTTAAAACCATTAGTCTCTACATTAAAGAACATTTCACAGCATTCATTATTCTTTAAGTATTTGAAAAATTTTAAATTTTTGTTTGATTTATAAAATATAACTGAACCACAGCTCAGATCATAAGGGCAAAAAAAAGTACTGTACTGTTTAATACTAGATATATAGGCCTAGCTAATCTCTATCAAATTCCATGGGTATAATTTTAATTACAATTTGTAACACCCTTTAATATTAAATGAATATAACAGCCTACTGCTGAATGCAAAAAATTATTAAATTATCTATTAAAAAACGTGAACAAACCATGCTAACCCAGAATCAGGTCCAAAGTTCATCCTAAAATAATTTTGTAAAGTGGATTTGTCATACAATAAATGAAAAATTAAACATTAACTGTTTGCACAAGATTGGGGCTGTAATAGTAATATAGATAGGAGTGTTCACACTGGGCTAATTTCATCATATTCACATAGCATGATGGATTATACAATACTGTGTGTTCTTCAGGTTGAATTATAAAGTTAAAATCTATAGCAAAACCTGTGAAAACATCAACAATTAAATTAAAATTAGAGCCTAATAAAAAAAAAAAAAAAAAAAAAAAAATCAAATTTAAATTGTTAACTTCAAATGATACAAACTTTTAAATCAGTTTTTTGCAGATTTATGGTTTTTACTACAAAAATTCTTATTATAATTAGGGCTAATATTTTAAATGTGTAAAAACATTTTTTGAAGGTCTGTAGCAAATTTAATAATTTTTGTGTCTGTTTAGAAAAGAAAATACAAATTTTAATCATTCCATTAAGTAGGTAACAATTCAAACACTAAATTATATTAATGTAAGTAGCTCAGTCTGAAATCAAAATTATTTTTTAAATATGCTCACCAAAAAAATGTAAGCAGTGGGTATGGTACAGTACGTCAAAATAATTCACTATACAAAAATTAATGAAGACCTTATTTTACAGATCTAGATCTACAACATTTTTAACTACTGGCTATACAGAGTGCAAGAGCAGATTTTCCATTGAAAAGAGCTCAGAGACCCACCATCATCCCTGAGGACTACACCAGCTTACTACTGACTAACATCTGACTTTCATTTACATATTCACTTTGTTTAAAATGCAATGCAATTAAAAAACCTAAAATGTTAATTAAAAAACATCAACCAGCTGGACTTGGCTTTTTGATGAGATCGTGCTATCAAATTATATTCTAAGGGCCACCAACATCATTAATGCCAAAGATAATAGAAGTTCCGGGTTCCTAGGTCTCCCGACCCCGCAATGGTGCCCTTGCTTAGAAGAGCGCCGTCATGGGGTCAGAGACCGGGATAGAGACATCACAATCACCGACCTCTACTACTATATATTTTCAATAGAAATCAGTGATATCCTATATAGCTTCTCCACTCCATTATAGAGATCCTGCTCGTAGGAGAGTGGACGTTTTAATACAAAGTGCCGTGCATTGTATTACCCGCAACTGCTTTAAAATTTTGAGTACTTACCGGCTTCTAGTTTCTGTATCAAGTAATCATACTTGGAGAATGACTCCAATTTCTCGCTTTTCACCAAAGCTTGCTCCATAATTAGCTGCTTGACCGTTTTCTTTGAGTTCGGTCCACCACCCCCTCCAACGGGACGTCCCCAAATACTTTTAGCGTTGTACTTCGGGGGACTGTAGTCGGGTATATATTGCTGATCTTCATGCCACTTCCCTCGTGGGATGGATAAGGCTACTGAGTTTTTCGGCTGAGTGGCCTGGCTTGATTTAGAATCTATTTGGTCTGCGGCATCGTCATTGCACTTGTTTGGTGGCGCTGCTTTTGATTTTTCTGAGCTCCGGACTTTCGTAGTCCGACCACTATTTTCTTGAGCTCGCTTTAGAACTTTCTCTTGCTCTTGGAATTTTAACAGATTATCTGGAAATATAATTTATTTTGATAAATAATTTTTTATAAAATTAAGTCAACAGCCATTATCTATTTAAAATTGTATATATACATTAATTATTATAACAAAAGTTGTCTGAATTAACTATAACTATACTACCCTATGTTTGCTAATCATTAATATTTGAACTCTAACCTTTTCAACTATTTTTAAAATTTCATTCAACATCGTACTTAGTTGTGATTTTATGTCTTTAATGAGCTGTTTATAATTATTTCACATGGTGATCTTTTTCTTGGATTGTTATCAAATATCAAATTATGAATTCAGCCCAAAGGCTATAATGATTTGATGCAGAATAATTAAGTTTATATCTGTCTTTACAATTTCAATTTTAGCCTAAATTTTCTAAGCCATCCATCGATCGACCATTATACAAGTACATAAATATTTTATACGTATGCAAAAAAAATATAATCTGCACTTGTAATAGGTTGTATAAAATAAAACCTATACATATTGACCCAATTATGGAATTCAACCACCTCATGAAAACTTGAATGTATAAAGGTTATCTTAACTGTGCCTTAAAGATATGAAGTCTGCTTTTAGCTAATAATTTAATAAAAACAAAAATTCATATATGGCCTTTAATGAAATGAAAAAAAAAAGAATATTTTCAACATCAGTAATAAATTTTTCCTACAGTAATTAATTAAACCCTTAAACTAGTGGGCACTCAATGAATTTTCTATAGTTAAACAGCTAGTAAAAATAAAATTCTTTCAGTATGTCTTATTAATATTTAATAGTAATACATAATTGAACCTTGCAGAACTAGGAAATTTAATATTTTAATTTTATGTACAATATAGGATTTTCATATTTTGTCACATTTGCAGGCAGCCCTAATAATATAAATCATGGTGCAAGCTAATAACAAGCAATAAAGCTTTTTTTACCATATTTTATTGGCCATTGTGATACAAATTTTTTTAATTTTTTTATTTATTTGATCATTAAGAATGCATTTTATAAAAAAAAATATTTTTCATGGTTGGAGGCCCAATGTCTATTTTCAGGCCTGGCCCTGAGGTACAATTTAATTGTAATTATGTCAACCTCACACTGAAACTCAGATCTTCAAAATATTATAGAAGCCACCAATAGAATACAGCTGAGTCACTTAATATTTCATTTCTGTTTATTTCTGTTTACTGTACTTTGCTTGACTTACAGATTACACACAGTTTAATAATAGAAGCTATTGTTCTACTAATGATCACTAATCTTGTTGAACTATAAAGGGAGTGGAATGTACAGTGCAACAAGCAACATAAAAAAAATTTAATGTGGTTCTATAATACTGTAGCAAAGGCTAATAAATTATCTTTCAATCTTTTGCCAAATAAAAAAAAATTATATTGCACCTCGTAATCCACTGCTGTACTAAACTTAAGATGTCACTAAATTTACACTACAACACAAAATGGGGGGAATGGGTAAAAAAAAAAATCAGATGGCAAGGCCTTGAAAACAAACTTATAAAGAAATAGAAAAAAATATAAAGGAACCACTTCTGAATAGTTAAATTTTTGAAAAATCTACTGTTCCAAATTAGGATTCAATCCAAAGACTTACCATTCTGGACGGTTTGAAGGTTTTAGAAAACAGATGAGCAGAGTGTGTGGAAAAAAAGTGATTTCGCATTCAAATCTCGCAGGCAAAAACTGCTCTGCTGATCAGTGCTAATCGGTCAATGGACTCCTTCGTTGGATTGGATTGGATTTATTCGGTGTAAACACCAAGGATAGCCCACGAAAGTCTAGAAGAAGACTTATTTCCAGTGGGGTCCTTCTGGTGGTGATTGGACAGTACACCGGGAGACCATGGAGAAAATTTATTTTCTCCATGGGGAGACAATCCCCTACAGTACTCTATTCCGAAGACTGTACTGCGTTCTTTAACGTGCACATGGGCCATAAATGCACACGGGACCAATGGCTTAAACGTCTCATCCGAAAGACGGTGCGCTATTGCAACTTGTATTTCAGCCCTCTAGCTTAAACACAAGGAGAGGCAGCGATGGGAATTGAACGGGGACCTAGAGATCTCCACGGTTCAGCGCACAGACAGTGGCTACCACCGGATTAGCCGACTGAGCTAAGCTGCTCTCTCTTATTGTTGTTGTTAAATTCCCCCAAAACAATGTAAATATACACACTTTTAGTAGGACAGTAATTTTGTAGGAAACACGCATATTCCTGGCCCCAATCTGATTGGTCATTTGTTAAGTCTAAAAGGCCCACTGAGTTATGGTATTATGAAGCAAGTCTCTACAGCCAACTAATTTATATCAAATTCCAACAGACTCGGCAATTTTCCTGCATTAGATTACCATAAAAATTGATTGCTTGATAAACATTAGGATTGCTGGTCTTTGGGCGAGTTAAATATCGTCACAAAAACAATAAAATAACATTCACTTTTCGAGGTCACTCACTTTTGCCATCAGACTCTCTATAAACATTAACAACTTCAATTTACATTCAATTCATAATCGCACAGCATATTCATTTATTCTGGTGGGCATTTCAAAATAAAACAGCATTAATTTTATTGCCCGAGAATTTATCACCGATATGAAGATAAAATTGCTCACGTCTTCGCTTTAACTGTCAACTCTAAATTACAGTACTCTTCACTTCTTCTCTGTGTGGTGTGTTCCTCACCTTTTTACTTACAAAATTTTCTACTATTAGATATTTTTACAAATTAATTTTAAACTTAACAAATTTTGAGTCCAAGATGGTGATGCTTTTATTCTGAGGAAAAGGTGTTTATTGCTTCTTGCCTCAGCATTGTAAAATATGCACTTCTTAAAAATAGCTTTGGACACTACACTTAAGGCAAGATTTTTTTTACCTTGTTTGTCGAACCTGCTGCCCACCAATATTGATGATTTCGAATAAAAATAAAATGTTATTTTCGGCCAATTAGCACACCCGCCGCCCACAAAAAATGGAAATTTCAGAAAAAAATTAAAGTTTTTCTCTATTTTTATTACGCCTGTCACTGCCTTGAAATCTCCAAAAATAACATGTAATTTTGTCAAAATTTGCATATAAACTTAAAGCATTTAACCATCCTATTACTACACTTTTTACATTTTAAAATAACAATTTTATTTTTATTTTCTCCTCCGTGTGGTTGTATATATAGAAAACGAAATTTTGTTTTTATTTTTTTTCCGCCCTCCTCTGACGATCTTTACAAAAAAAGTTTTTGAAACAAGGTATCAAAAAAAGTATTGCCTTAGGACAAAAAAGGAAACTGTTATGTTGCCTAAAAAGTACATTAACATTCAAAAAATCAGGGTTGGTCAGAAGGCACTTTAACTTATTACTAGGCCTACTGTAATTTTAAGTTACATTGTAGGTCTACACACTAATAATGGATCTTGAACTAATAAAACAATTTTAAAATACTTACTTAAACTGAATGAATTTAGCGGCATGTGTCTCATCATTTCCCGGCCCTCAGCTTCTACACCGTACATATCAAACAACTCGTCTAAAGCAGTTGACGCATACTCCTTCATTACGCTAACCTCTTCCGGCATTTTTCCTGACTTCTCTTCATCTGACTGCACACTTATTTCACAGTCTTTATCATGTGAAAGTATGGAAGCAACATCTGCATTACCGTTTCGTAATACTTCGGAAGGGAGTTCATCACGCTTAAAAAGAGCTACGGTACCATCCTCATCAACGCAGCAGACAACGTTATCATTTATCTGCTCTTCGTCAGACTCATCCTCATCTTCAAGTGCCCTATTTGCATAATCTTCTATTGTCATTCGACTGTAATTATTATTAGAATGATTTTGAAAAGATTTTGTGGGGGAGGTATCGTAGTGTTTCACAGTTTGCATATCGGACCTATCTTGCATTTGGCAACTTAAATCAAGTGCACCATCGATACTGTCCTCATCTGAACCATTCTGCATTATCATGCATCTATCTGATTTTCGTAAACATAAATCAAGACTGCCCTCTTTTGTATAAAGGCCAACGTCTGAATCTTCTTTGGTAGTGCTGTTAGGTAAATCATCCTCATTACCGGAATAATCAAATTCTTCACATGCATCGGCGACCGCGCACACTTGTCGCGGAACATACCTTTGATTTGACTTTCGTTTGCGTGCACCGAATAAGGATGATTGTCTCTCATGGTTATTATTATTACTTTCTAATTCTTGCGTTGTAGGTTCTATCTTTGGTGTAGTTTGTCCATTTGTTAGTGCATGATTATCACAACTTTCTTTATGGTAATTATCGCTTTTCCATTGTGATTTTGAGGAAATATTATTATATTCATCTATATAGGTCCTGTGCGACTGCAGTATGCAGTCATTCCCGCTATCGGAGTCATCGACCCCTGAATCTACTTCTTTGTCAGCTTCAGCTTGGTCATCGTTTGGGGTCGTTGCACTCACTGGGGGCACACGCTGAGTTTGTAGTTTAGCACATATTGCATCTAGGTTGAATTTTGGCATTTTTTTGTTTCTTTTTTCTTCTCCTGTGCTCTGCCTTCCTTTTTCTTTCTTATTTGCTTAACTTACTACCTCCACTCTTGTTCACTATAAAAGAAAATAATAATGAAGGTTATTAATTCTTATATTTCAATTTTATATTACATTTTCAAATAATATCTGGTTTTGTAAAATCATTAATTGAATCTAATTCAAAATTACTAGATAATGGTACAAAATCATGTAATATATAGTATCCCTGAGAATTGTCTAAACACTGTCAATGTATTTACTTTTTTCACCATTTTTAGATGATTTTTGGCAAAATACGAAAAACACCCCTACAAAATTGATAAAAGAAAGTAAAATAGAACTATCAACTAAGACAATGCAACACACACATCAGTTTTTTGTTAATTTAATATCAGTCAATTTAACCTTCTAGATACCGTCTTCAACTGTAGTCGAAATTGACCTCAAACCAAGAATTCCCATTTTCGACCGCAGTCGAAATTTAGTGACTAAAAAATAGGTGGTTTTCAAATCGCTCCTGTTTTTATTTTAGCTCCAATACGTCAGAAATTTTGAATACGCATGCGTGAAGGTTTTTTCTTTCGAAATCTGTGAAGAACTCACATGCGCTTACGTAAAAATTTTTAGAAATATCAATTTGAAATCGTTATTCATTTCAAAAGATGAGCCTAGGCCTAGAAATGTGAGGGTGGTCAACGCTTTTGAATGGAAAGATCGTGCTTATAGTTATGGATGGTTGGGTAATTAAATTATATAACTGTGTGGAATAGGAATTTTTTATATTTGTATTTATTTTTTTTTTACTATTTTATTGTTTTATAGCAGCAGCAATTCTCAAAATTTACTGGCATTCATTTTGAAAATAAGGCCCACACCACACCCCTAACCCCCACCCCCTCAAATTATTTTGCAAAAGTAGCCTCGAAAAGAAGTCCATCTCGAAAGATTCTCATCTCACAAAAGAAGCCCATTCAAAATTTGCAAAAAAAAAAAAGAATCATTGGGCTTCAATTCAAGGTTTTGCAGTATAGTATTCAGAGTTGTTTGTATGCTAATTTGTGAAAAAATTCTAATAATTTAAAATTTATATTTAATGAAATACTAAATATACAAAGTTAACAACTCAAAGTGCATATTAAAAACAAATGGTAAAATATATTTAATTCCGCTTCATAAGTTGTAATGTAGTTTAATCTATTCTTTGAGGTACAGTTTTCAAAATTACTAACTGTATAGCAGCAACTGTAAAATCAACATTGCAAACAAGATATTTTAAAAATGTGTCCACAATTAATCTATTCTACACTGTACATCATCATCGTGCTGTATTTTACCACTACAACCATGTATTAGCATAATGTATGATGTACTGTATAAGATAATCTCAAATAATCCATGCAGTGTAGTTTATTCATAGGTTAACACTTTGATTTCAAGATCACAGTACATGAAATCCATAGTTAAAATGGATAATGTAAGATAATCGCAGATTAATCTCAGTTTAGTCCCATGCAGTATACTTTGTCCACAAGTTATCACTTTGACTTCAAGATCACAGATGAAATAGATAGTTAAAATGGACAATGTAAGATAATTACTGATAATCCCATGCAGTATAATTTATCCATGGTTTCACTTATGATTTAAAATTCACAGTAAAGGTAATCTATAGTTAAAATGGAATGTAAAGATAATCCCAGATAATCCATGAAGTACAACATTTGTTTAGTCATCAAGACTTTAATCCAATTAATAATCCAGTACTACAGTATAGTATATTAGTCTAAAGTGATGTGTTAGACCAAACTCACTTTATTTCTAAATTACCTACCTTTACTGGACAAGGAACTAATATATACCTGTAGGCGACCATGTATTATTTTGTATCTAAATACAGAATTCCACAGTCGATCTACACTCTGACTCCCCCGAGGTTTATGTTATCGATGTTTCCATTATTTGAAATAAGGAGAACTAGGTCATACTGACCTTCAGAACACTTCAATCATGAATATTCACATTTAAATTACCAAAAAAAAAAATTAAAATAAAAACAACTAAGGATTGGTAGTAGGAAAAGGAGGATGATGGCATATTGAAGTGGTGGGTAAAGTAAATTGAGAATACGGAGGAAAAAGGAATCTAGATACTTAACCAGTGTGACATGAGGTTTTTTCCGACTTGAAAATCTGGAATTTTGTAAAATATGAAGCATATGAAAATCGAATCATTTATCTTGGGACTTATTTTATTTCCTTCTTATCCAACAGCAAAGTACACTCACTATTAATAGGATGGAATGATGCTTTATAAACCTACGTCGCTTATTGAGGCTTAGGGAGTGATCAACTGTCTTTATAGCTGTGAGAGGAAGTCCTCCTATGAGAGGAACTGAACCCAGGACCCTGAGGTTAGAAGGAAAGCATCTTAACCACTAAGCTATTTATCTCTACTCCATCTATTCAACTCCACACCCAGTTAAGTCATACATAACTTTTGATTCAGATCCGATTTTAGTTATTTACCATTAAAATCATGTTGCAGACTCTATTCCAGATACTGTATGTACTCTAGTAAAGGTGGTCCGTGTATAAGACGACCACTGAGTTTAAGAAGATTTTTGTATTTCGGCCGTATAAGGCAACCTCCCTGTTTCATCGGAATTCCTACATTTGGCTGCTTTATATGGTCTTAATACTGCACCTAGCTGGCTAAAAACGGAGCCAAATGTAGGGCTAATCTTTCAAATAATACTGTTTTTATGGGCTTTTTAATATTCATCAAAATCTTATTCCCTCATTAATTCCTTTTATTCATACTAACAGTTATTAGCTTCATTTTAGTAGTAAACTCATGTGTTGCATATGATCTGTTTTTTTCAAATGTAATTTGCTTTTTTAAGCCTCTTTATACGTGAGACTACACGATAGGTGTTTTTGGAATGGAACTCGTCAATGTTTACCCAGCACTTAACCACTCGTAGTGGTCAGCTGATGTTAATATGTGATGAAATAGTGTAATTATTGCAACTACTAAAGCAAACAAATGGAACTAGACATCCAATAAAACTTAAATAAAGTTGTAATTACTCATTACAATTCGTTAATTCATTATTCAGCCAAATCTGAAACCACTTGCATCACAATCGATAATATTACTGTACATCATCTTTACTGGATACTACCACCTTCATAATTAATAGTACAAGATGTCTGAAATGTTTTGGAGTCAAACTCAGTACAGTAGGATTAATAGTACAGTAATACTAACTATTGCAACCAGGGACCATTTTTACATGAAATTTAATACAAATAAAATAAGTACAACTTTGCGCTGTCTTTTGACTAAGTAAATTTGTTAGTCACAAGCGTTCGCTAGCTCCATCATGACTCATCAGGTGCTCATTCACAAGATGAAGTTAGCTTGAGCTAGAGATACAGTTACCTGATGAAGTTAGCTCAGCCTAGTGATACCTGATGAAGTTAGCTCAGGCTAAGGATACCTGATGAAGTTAGCTCAAGCTAGCGATACCTGATGAAGTTAGCTCAAGCTAGCGATACCTGATGAAGTTAGCTCAAGCTAGCAATACCTGATGGAGTTTGGTCAAACTGTCAATACAGTATAGCTTGTGTCTTAAAAATTTTTTTATTTAAAAGAAGGTGCTACTGTTACTTATTTGTATTTCACGTTCTAGTGAACCTAATAATGGCTACAACTTTTATTTAAAAAAAAAAACACAGTCAACTGCCCAACCAATCAGCAGCAATTTACCCGGTGTAGCAAGACCCGGTGTATGATAAAAATGGCCACAGAAAAAAATGGCCCCTGAAGAAAAATGCCCCAATGACAGGTACAATTGGGAAAGAAACCTATTTATAAATTTTCAGTTTTCATAGAGTTTTTATATTAGTTTTCAATATAGTTCGCCCTCCGTTTTGAGACCACTTTAGGTCCTGAAAATTTGGGGTGGTCTCGGAGTTGGTCTCCAATTAGAGGGCTAGCTTTATGTTAAAGATTGTTACTTGGGTCTTTAGAAAAGTGGTCTCGAATTAAAGAGGTCTCGGAATTACAAGGCTCTCGAATTAGAGGGTGCACTGTACTATCTTAAGTGCTGTACTAATATTGTTTTATTTATTATTTTTCTTTATTTATTATTATGTAAAAAAAATTATGTTGTATATTTCAATTGGAGCCTGAACTGCAATGGTTAATGGTTGTGCGCTTGCATACATTCATCTCTATATGCGCTTTCCAGGACAATAGAGATGAAAAAAAAAAAAAAAACAGAAAAAAAAAGGTTGAAACGGGAAAAAGAAAGTTGTACAGTAAAAAAGAAAAACAAACAAAAAAAAAGAAAAATTTCAATGGTTAATGTTTGTGCACTTACTGTATATACCGCATATAAAATTTGTCTCTATGTGCTTTCTAAATTCCAGGACAACAGAAAAGAAATTTAAAAAAAAAACAAAAAAAACAAAAAAAACCAGAAAAACTGGTTGAAACGGAAAATGAAAGTTTGCAGAAAAGAAAAGCATCACAAATAAACATGAATCGTTTCGTGCATTAAGATAATAAATCGATCCAAATTTCCTGTAGTCTGGTTAGAATTACCTTCATTTTTGTTGCACTTTTTTTCCATAATTTTTTATAGTTCAATATACTGGTACCTGTACGAATTATTTTTTAACTTTATTTTTAACCAATTTGTTATTTTAAATTCTATTTCTCACAAATCTAAATTTCTTTCATCATTTTTGTACTTATTTTTCTAATTTGTATATTTTTTATACTGGTAGAATATGTTCTTTCATTTTCTCCCATTATTAGATTTAAGCTTTTATGTTACTTGCTAACAACATACTGTACTATATAGACTTGCTAGGGGTCATTCATTTATAAGGGCAAGTTAAAGAAAACCTCTGTGACTACAGTACCCTCTCCCTTCATTCTCCCAGAAAAGTACATAATGTCCATTTTCTTCCATTATTAGATCTTTAATTTTTTATGTTACTTGCTGTACTATACAGACTTGCTAAAGGGTCATTCATTTACATTCACCACTATTTCTGATAATA